GCTGAAAGAATATCTTCATTTGCTATAGAATTCTAGATTGACAGCTCTTTTTCTTCTACCCCTTTAAAGATGGCCATTTCCCTCTCTTTTGCCTCCACAGTTCCAGATGTTAACCTTTGTACGTAATATGTAGTTTTATTACTGATGCTGACTAGATTTGCTTTTTAGCTTTGGCTTCAACAGTCTGCCTCAGTGTGACATTCTTTGTGATTATCCATTCTGCTATTTGTTGAACATCATGAAGCTGTAGATTTGTGTCTGCCATTAAATTTGGGAAACTGTCAGCCATTCAAATATTTTTTTTCCTGCCTGATTCTCTTTTTGCTCTCCTTCTAGGACTCCAGTTACATGTTTGATCTTGATTTTATATATATAAATATGCATATATATATATATATATTTTTGAGTTGGAGTCTCATTCTGTTGCCCAGACGGAAGTGCAGTGGCATGCTCCCAACCACCGCAGCCAGTGATCCTTCCGCCTCAGCCTTCCAAAGTATATGTTCACTTGTGCCCAAACATTTCCCTCTCTACTCTTCACACTGGATAATGTCCACTGATCCATCTTCAAGTTCCATTTCCTGTTCCTCACTGTGCTATTTAAGTCCATACAGTAATTTTTTTTTATTTCAGAAACTGCATTTTGGAGTTCTAAACTTTTCATTTTTTAAACATTGTTTCTAGTCTCTGCTAAGATTTCCTATTAATTTGTGGCTAACATATACTCTTTTACTTCATCGTGGGTAGTTATAACAGGTGCATTAAAACTCGTCTGCTCATTTCAACATTTGGATTATCTCAGGGTTGCTCTCAGTAGATTTTCTATTCTTTAAAAATGTGTTGCATTTCCCTTTTTCTTTACGTCATATAATTTTGGATTTTATCCTTAACATTATGATTGACAAATTTTGGATAATCTAGATCCTGTTTTGTTTTTTTTTTTTCCTTTGATTTAGCAGGTAATTTTCTTGCTTGGACTTGAACTGCAAACTCAGTTTCTCAAATGTTTCATGAGTAGTATCTTTATTCTTTGTCTCAGTTGAACTGTTCTCAGTCTGCTTCATGCTGGTGTTGTTCAAGGGTCAGTGAGTGATTTGGATAGAATTTTGGGATCTCTTCTCTTGTTCTTGTTTTTCTAAAATTTTCCCTCTCTCTGGTAGCTGCAATTTCCTAGAGACAATCTTTTGATTCCCAAGAGGAGAGGACAGAAAGAGATCAGATAAATAATTCAAGGACAGTCCCTGGAATCTAAAGATACTAGATTTATCACTAAGGATAAAAGGGTATTATAACCAGAACAACCTTACTAACTTTCAAAATCTAGGAAAAGGAGAAGATTCCTGAGAGGGAGAGGGTGAGGGAGGTGGGGGAGAGAAAGAGAGAGGGAAGGGAGGGGGAGAGAGAGAGAGAGAGAGACAGAGAGAGAGAGAGAGAGAGAGAGAGAGAGAGAGAGAGAGAAAGAGAGAGAAACAGAAACAGAGAGAGACAGAGGGATACCGGAGGACAGCAGTGTAAAGCCTTCAAAATTCTTAGGAAAAACGATTTCTAACCCATAATTCTATACCTAACCAAGCAACCAATAAAGATTTTCAAAGTCTCAAAATACTTACCTTCAATACACTCTTTTCTCAAGAAATTACCTGAGGCTGAGTTCTACCATGTGAGGGAGAAAACAAGACATGGGTTACACAAGTGGCTGATTCAATAGAGAAGCAAAAAGACTTCCAGGTTGATGATTACAAAGAATAAGTATGAGGTCAACCCAGCAGGCACCAAGTCCAGACTGGAGTGAGCTAGAAATCTGTGGGGAAGCTGCTCAAGAAGGTAAATTGGATAAAGTTTCTGTGTGTTTGAATATATTGCAAGGACACTTGCAGAACTTGGATAGAGGGAGTTTTGGGATGAGCTAAAACAACACAGAAAACATAGGAAAAAAAGCACAGTAGGAAAAGAATCTCAGTCTATGACTTCCTTAGGACTGAACGGTATCTACACAGGGCTAATAACAAGGGCAATGAGCATTGAGGTAAACAGAATGAACATGCTGGGAGGAGGAATTAAGGGAGTGTGTCTGTGGCACAGGCCATGGGAGAAAAGAGAGCTGAATTCTCCTGTTCTGTTGTAGGAAGACTACATGCCCAAAATGAAATAATCAAGAAGTAGCAATATAAACCTGTTAAGGGAGGAACGAGTTTAGCAAGGTAAATACTAAAGAAGCAGGTCAGCTAGACGAATTGAAAGTGGATGGCTTTTAGGGACCAAGCAAAGGACGGGGCTCATTTCACAACCAGTTCTATGAAACCATTTGCTTCTTTATGTATTTAATTAAAGCATACAAAAAGACAATCTGACACATTTGCTAACGTGATTTCATCAATAATACTCAATAATATTTCCTAAGGGGTTATTTTGGTATCAGTTTCTGGGCTAGGATCCACAGTCCCCATACCAAGACTTCCCATGGCCATGGCTACAGCTCATGGAACTCCTTTTTGCGGTCCACAGAATAGGGGCTTCACGGTGTTTCAGGTCTTTGAGTTGAGGGCAGGGGAAGGAAAACATGGCAGTGCAAAAAACAACTCCAAAGTCACCTGACATCTGTACCTATCCAGGTAAGGTCTGGTTCCAGAAGCACGTCATCTACGTAGAGGAAATTCCATAAGCATTTGGAGAAAACAAAGGGCTAGGCATAAATATCTGTAAGACATTCCAGTAGACAAAGAAGCTGAGGCAGTAGGAATTGGTCAGACACCCAAGAAAGGTAATTTAAGAAGAGAATGAAGCTGAGGAAAGATCTTTAAAGAATAGTTTCACTCTGTCCTTGAGGCCAGGATATTCTATGATCTTCAAGGAAGAGGCAGTATTCTTTAGAGGCCCTACTATGAGTTAAGAGAATGGCTCCACAGTATTAAATTTCTCTGATTGTTTCCTTACCATTCTTTACCTGGTCATTTATGGCTTTCTAAATGCCAAGTTTAGTAACCACTTCTTGGTACTCACCCTTTTGACATCTTACACCATTTGACTTTGCAGACGTTCTATTTATTCTTACTGTAAAACTTGCCCTTCCTTTGACTTCTGTGTCTCCTCTGACCCCATTCTTTCCTGGTTTTCCTACTACCTCTATTGGGGAATCCTTGGGGGTTACTTTGGCAGTTTGAATTTAGGCAGTGGTCTTAGTTTTCAGGGATCTTTGCCTAGCCAGAAAGTTTATAGGCAGGTGGGGCAGAAATAATATTTTAATGTGAAGAGATAATAAAGATGACAATCTCAACATTGACAACAACAAAGGCAGTGGGATCCCAGTGATGGTTAAAATGCTGATGTAGACAAATGACTAGGTTAAGTACATGTCTTGGATAGGAGTTGATGTCTCTACACAGGAGAAAGACACTCAGACATCCTAACTGCCTCTTAAAGACCCAGGTCCTGTTCATAAGATGTTTATTGTTAGGTATATCAAACTTGGCCAGGTACAAAAAAGAATTTCCAGTGATGCATACGATAGAACAATAAAAAATGTGGGTGAACAGAAATGAACTGAGATCAACACCCAAAATGCATGATTGCCCCAATGCAGAACCACATGCAATTGCATTTAAATCAACGTTAGAATCATTATAGCTGCTGCCCTAATTGAAGTATATGAAATATTCTATATATCTTTCAGATTTTCACTTCCCATAAATCCATATAAAAATCTTTAAGAGTGCCAATAGACAAACATTTAGTGACAACAAGATATGCAAGCTTAGTTTACAGTAATGTATAATTATTTTATACATATTAAGTAAAATATATTTGACTTTATTTTAGAAACCCAACTTTGTTTTAAAAACCAGCTGAAATTTATAACTTTTCAGAAAACATATTACAACACTCTTATGTAACTGATAGCAGAATATCGTGATCAAAACAGAAACACATACCACCACCTTGTACCAAATCCAGAATAAAACAATATTTTCTATTTATTCCCTTAATAAAAACTATGCAAGGATGACAGAGGCAGCAGAATGAGTCAGTGAGCTGGGTCTATGGCAATGATGTTTGTTTTGCAATGCCCAAATCATTTCTAGAACATGCTACTTTCATGGTGCACTGATATAGAAAGTCTTAGTAAAACCAAGTTATTTCTAATAGCTCTTTAGTATTTCAAGTGAGGCCAACTGAGGTAACTCACATGAAGTCATGCTGACTCACACAGACCACGCTAAAACCAGAATGCTACCTGAGCATGAAATTAGGGACTCCTTAATTTTTTTTCTAAGCTGCCTCTTTGTTAAAACTTCTCTAAGTTCTGGTTTATCTCTCAGCTTTCTTCTAACTTAAGTCATATTCATCTATCTCCTCTTAACCACTAAGTTAATCTTCTGTAACTCAAGTCACTCTTGAAATCCCCCTTTCTCCTAAGAAGTCCCCCTTGACTTGTTGGAACAGTAGTCCTTGAACTACCTCATTTGGGTATGGGGTTTTTATACCTTTACCCTCTACTCTGAGCCATAAGAGCACTTACATGTTTCTATGTTGTTAAAGTTTATTAGCAGCTGACTGAAAAGCTGTCCCTGAGCTGGGTCCCTGGTGGGAAGATGTAAGAAAGCATGTTCTGGAAGGAAGCACTGGGCAATGGTGAAGCCAGAGTGTGAACTGTGAGTGTGAGTATGAGTCCCGCTACCAACCAGCCTTGTGGTCTTGGAGAAGTCACCAAGCTCTCTCCAAGCCCGGATTCCCTTATCTGCTAAATGGACATGGGGATAACTAACCTATGGGTGTCATTAAGCTGTTGTGAAGACTAGACGAGGCACTTCCATGCCATGCCTAGCATATGGCAAGTCCTCAATAGGCAGAATTAGCAGGGCTTGATAAATGCTCTCTGACAATAAATTGACAAATATAGGGTTAACTAGAATTCAAGTATTTATTTGGAATGTCAAAACTAGACATATAAAAAGTTATATTGCTAATAAAAATGTTGAAATAAAGACACGCATGGAAAAATGTCAACTAAACTATATCTTACATTGAAGACAGATTCTTTATTGGATGAATGCACTGTACTAGATACTTAAAATAACAAACATACAGAATGACAGTTTTGTAATTTAGTTTGTAGTCATGTTAGGTACAATGGTTAATACATCTAGGAACGATAATATTCTGCATATTTAACAGATTTATCAAGCACATTTGAAAAAAATTAAACTTTAACTTCCAGTTACTATGACTTCTTCCATACACCAAATGAACAAACATATTTATTTATTTCAAATAATCGATACTGTATATGGCTATACTGTGCTCTAAAATTACTTGTATTAATAAAGACATTTATTTCAGTAATTAAAACAGGGGATTCTACAATAACCCTGACAAGTTGACTACAAACAGAGAATTACTCAGTTTTTAGACATAAACAGTATAATGGAGTTGAAGTTGACTTTAAAAGAGGCCACCATGACTTGAACCTGTTCCAGTAAACCTAGTCAGCAGTGGGACAAATGTACGTGGCTAAGCTACAACTCTCCCTGCCTGGTGACCAAGGAGCATCTCGAAGCCTCAGAAACAAAGACTTTGCCAGAGCAGTATTTTTTCAGCTACTGAGCAAGATACTTCAATGAGGAAGAAGTGGCAGAGAGAAAGGCAACTGCTGGAAGGAAGGAGTGGACAGCAGCTGGCGGGAGCTCCCCATCCCCATGGGGCCTGGGGATCCTGGAAGGCTGTGGGTGAACACAGCACCTGGTAGTCACACTCCACCAAAGGGAGCACACAGGGCTTCAAGGACTGCAACACACTAAGGTGACGTAACATACATCAAACTGAGTGAATGAGAACAAAAACGGTGAGTGCTTAGCACTGAGAAAAATAAAAATCAGACAGTGAAATGCAAAGTTAACTCATGGATATCTGGACCACAAATAATCTATTCCAATTACAACATTTAAAAAATGCAGACCACACGTTTTTCCAAGAACCCACTTGAATGAGGAGACACAGGGCTGTTTGTATGAAGTTAGGTTTTTAAGCAGAACTGTACAGTTTAGAACAGTCAATGTTCTGGAGAGGCCCAAGTGTCACCTTCCAGATCTCCTCTTTCAGGCCCTCCACAGGTCTTGAGAGCTGCCTGCACTGATGTTCAGTGAATGCGGCACTGAGAAACTCTTCGTTTGGCACCAGCCCGTCTCACAACACACCCTGAAGAAGCCACTCTGCCTGCAGCACTCACCATGAAACATTTAGCTTTTTAGCAAATACTTTTTAAAAGATATCTTCAACAGTTATATAGGATCTAATCTAATAAGAATGGCAAAACAAATATCACTGTGGCATTTCAAATAAGGTCATTTTGTTTGAAATAAAACATATACCAACATCTTCCTAAGTTACCATGCTGGAAAAAGGAGAAAGGAGGAGGAATTGCAAACCCAATACATTATGTACCGAATACCTCTGTGGTGTTTGCGCAAGTGAGTCTTACTGCTTGCCATCTTTCTGGACTGCCCTCCTTGGCAGGCATTTATGTTTTCATCATGGTTGGAGAAACTGCTTGGAAACAGGTGAGCTGCAAGTGCATGCTGCTTTTGAACTTGTTCAGAAGCTCTTCCAGTAACCTGCAGGGAGGAAATGCTGTTTTACAGTCATAAAGATGGGTGGTCTGGCAACAGGAGAAAATACCAGAAAGCCAGCAGCCAGCCTGCCTGCGCTTGCTGCTTTTAGGAGGTAGCTGAGAGTTCTATTGACAGATCCTTAACTCAGTAACAGAAATCAGTTGATCAAAGATGTTGGTCAAAGGGGCCATAAAACATACCTATTTATGTTTGTATATAAAAGTCTCTTTCCTATTCCCCTCCCAGGTTAATTAGACTTCTAAAACAGACTGATATTTGGGCCTATTCTTTTGAAAAACTTCACTAAATTTACAAACACTAAAATTCATTCTTCTGGTTAAAAGTTCCACGAATGTAGACAAACTCAATCAGGACTGTAAAACAGTGCTGTCACCCCACACTCTCCCATGAGGCCCTCTTCTTCACCAGCTCTTCCCAACCCCAGCCCAACAACTGCTGGCTATCCTCCATTCCTCTACTTCTGCATTTTGTCTTTAGCCAATGTTGGACAGTAGGGAGTGAAAGTGGTGAGTCAATCATCAAGGAAAGCTGGGTTCATGCTCATTCCATTGGGCAAATCATTCTGCTACTTGCTATCAATCTGTTTCCCCAACTGGTTTGATATAGTCATATAATTTAAAAGCTATAAGGGATCTCAGAGTTCACCTGGTTCAGACGAAGCAACCAAGAACAGGGTTTAATGGTATTGAGGTCAAGAGATTACTTCATGGTTTAATAACATTCAGTATTAGAACTCTATACCCATAGTAAATCTAAGATATAGTCCTATCCTGACCTGTGGCTATTTCAGGGTGTCTATTGTTCCTGACTCCCAAATGTACTATCTTTTGAGCTTTGTTTCATATATTAAAAGTAACAGTGATTGTTTTAATATTTCATCTTATTTTATTTTAAAGAAATAAACAGGGTTTGAAACTGATTTAATAGAAGAGGAAAGTTAGTGAGAAAAGAATAATGAAGGATGTATGGCAACTGTCCACACTAGCACCGCCTATGCAACACCATCTGCGAGGGTACTGTCTATGTGACACTGTCTGTGTGACACTGTCTGCGTGGTACCATCTGTGTGGCACCGTCCACATGGGCACTGTCTGTGTAACACCATCTGTGTGATACCATCCATGTAGGCACCAACCATGTGGGTACCATCTATGCCACACTGTCCATATGATGCCATCCATGTGGCACCATTCATGTGGGCACCGTCTGCGCAAGCACCATCTGTGTGGCATCATCTGTGCATGCACCATCTGCATGGCTGCCACACATGCACGTAGGGATGTGCTCTGCTAGGATCACTTTGGTGGAAGGGCTGGCCTGTTGCCCATCTCTAAGCCAGGTCCATGCCTCAGTGCCATGTGGTAGCTTCCCCTGTCACCCTGCCCATGTACTCTCTGCCTTCCGAGTCTACAGTGTGACTAGTGCCTGACTGTTTCATCTGTGGAACCCTCAGTCACATGCAGAGGGCTGGTGAAGGAGTGAAGACCAGTAGTGTTTCCATTGCCTTAGCTGAGGAAGGGCTGGGCATTTATGAAATATATACCTGGCCTAGATTTACCCTCAGGTCAGAGTTTCCTGTTGTGTAAATAATAAAGTTTAAAGTCATGCTGAGATCATTAATGTAGCATAATGGAATATATATAACTTTATTATGACATATGTACACATCTACCCTTTCTTAATACTTTATGTTTTATAGAGCACAAATATCACTGAACTACTCAAAGAGAAAAAAAAAATCACTGAATCTTATGTTTTACTACCCTGTCCTCTTTTACATTATCTTCTTAAATAAATAAGCTAATACATAGTTAACTGAATTAAGTCATAATAAGATTTCTTATGACATCTTCGTAAGTACCAGCTACCTGAAACAAGAAAAGAGCTAACTTCCATATTATTTTAAAACCCAAAGAATGGTTTTCCCTTATTTTGTCATTTGGAAGACATGCAAAGTACAGGTGACATGAGCTACCTGTTAAGGGCTATTAAGGACTGCTCTTAAATCAAATCATCATAATTTTTTAAAGGTACATTAGATAGCAAAACCTTGTTCAACATATTTGATGGCTCCTGAGGACAGCAAGTAGAACTTACTTTTTATCTGCTCCACTTGAAAGTTGAGGCAGGGCTTCCAAAGCCTGTTTGAAACTAGACCTGGAACATAAAGAGCAGCACGCAGGCTGAAACATTTCATAGTTCCAAGGGGAATTACAAGGATCATTAAACAATTCTTAAGCACATCTTACCTATTAAGAAACCAGTGTATGCCAGTAAAAGAAGTATAAATATGAGAAAAAGTAAAAGTGAAAAACAACAAAAAAAGTAAAAGTGAGGGTATAGTTCCCAGGCAGAGACTTTGTAGGAGGAGGGTCAGACAAACTCAACTAGGAAACGAAATGCAACTTGAAAAGCTAAAGAAAAACTGATTATAAAGAACAAAAGGATGCTACTCATGACAAATGACAGCTAAATGTGGGCATGTTTAATTTAAAAGCAGTTTTTTAAAACCCAAACTGAACGGTAGATAAAGCAACTGGTAAGATGAAAGGAAACTAAGTCGAAAGAGGAATGATCTTTTGAAAGATTACACAAATAGGGATGTTTACAGTATTGGCATGTATAAGGCCTGAATGAAAGCCAATGTCTTATGATACTTTAATAAGGTCCTTATAGGATTTAGCTACTATATTTAAAGTGTGTAGGAAAATGGAGAGTTATATATATATATGTACTTTAAAAATTCAATATAAATTCTTTAGATGAAAAAGGTAAAAAAAAAAAAAAGAATTAAAAAAACACCTATTTGGGGTGTTTAATGTTTACAAGTAGAAAGTATAAGAAAAATTACTTAATTAAATGAAAGGCATCACAAGGGAGCTTATTTGATAATAACCTGCACTATTCACTAAGGAACAGTTCTTAAATTTGTATCTCTTCTTTTATGATTGACTGAGGTGAAGAAATAAATGCAACTGCTTTTGACTTCCGGGTGGTCTTTGACTTTGTAACTATAAAAACAACCTCCTTAATCTATCAGAAAATACATTTTTGAGCACTGTTCCTATACCTCAAACTAGGGGCAAGTGTCACAACAACATATAGAGAGACTGAGAAGTCCCAGTAGTCATAAAAACTGGCACTGGGCATCTTCACTGCTCCTGGGAGGGCAGGGTGGAATGTGGGACAGGTAGCTTACTGGCACACTTAGGCCCCGTCCCACATTCGATGGCTCACCCTCTCCTGATATGGAGGGATGCCATCGCTGTTGCTCTACCATCTTCTTATTTCTTAAACCTTTTGTCCATTCATTGAAAAACAATAGTGATGCTATTGTTCTTTATTTTGACATAATGATAATAATGATGACAAAGACTATACTACCTATTATATAAAGAACACAAGAGCCCTCTAGACATGGCTTCTGAAAAGCCCTGACAAACAGGAATGAGAGAACAACTTTATTGTTAGGATAAAGTCTAAAACATCTTTTCAGCTGCAGTGATGACAGTAAGAATGATGGCGGTTATCAGATGCTGAACATGAATGAATAAGCGTAGTACACAGGGTCCTAGACATTTGATTTGCATACTGCTTGGCTTCTCAGGCACATGAGTATGTCCTAGGTAATACTGCCAGTGTAGTCAATAATTTTGCATAGGTAGATAGTAGTTCTGTTTCACTTCATCTACTAGTAGGAAATCCTGACTTTCATTCAAAACATCTAAAACGTATCACATTTCCACTACAAAATTTTGCAGAGAAACCACAATGCTTCCTCTCACACTGATATTTACAACACTGGAAATGGCCTTCATAGTCTGCTATGAATAGATTAAGACTCAATTCTTATTTTCTTCCTTTTTAAGAAGTCTGTGATGCTCTGCTATATTATTTATAAGACTGAGGTTTATCAGTAGTGAATGAAAAACACAATTATATTAAACCTGATTTCTTTATATTGTGCTGCAAAGAAGTGGCCTTGAGAGTTGCTGGCTTGTTGTAGGTTTATGCTTTTTAGCTAAAAAATTAGCCAAAGATAAACCTTATCACATCACAAATTCATGATCATTTACTCTGATCAGTTACTCTGATCAGTTATCTTTACCAAAGATATAATACGCTAGTAAAATAACCTTTATTTTTAATAAAGCAGTGAGAACTAAAGAACACTGCATCTTACCTGCTTTCCGGTGTCAGGTAAACAGCCACAGTATCCCTCAAAGCACAGATTTCAAGTCTTGCCTAAAGTTAAGAAGATGACAAAGTGACAACAGGAAAATATGTCAGTTATCAAATATAAGCAAGTACTGAAGGGAACAATCTCCAGCCTGCTTATCGCAGGACAGGAGTGGTATAATACCACCACGGTGACTATTAGTCATTAATAGACTTTCTAAAGCAGTTCAAAGAAATAGCTATAGCAGAATTCCCTTTTACTGAAAATTAGCTTGCAGTCACAGATGACTGTGTGAAGGCAGGGAGCTAAATATCTCACTATGAAAAGTACACGCAGTGCAATGGTTTTTCAGAAATCTGTATTTACTCTTGCCAGTCATTTTTCTTTTAGTCTTGTTGTGAAAGGAAAGAATCTCTGAAACACTGCCCCTGAAAGGCCCCTTGCCCCACAGAGTTAAGGACATGGTTTAGCTTGCTTCCTGATACCAATGTCCTTCCAGGTACACTGCCTTAATCTCACAAACTACACTATGCCCAACAGTTTCAATATAATCTCTATTAAAATCATAGCTACTTATCTTTTAAAAATGAAAACTGAAAAGTTGATTCTAAAATTCATATAAAAATGTAAGGAACTCAGAATAGCCAGGACAATCTTAAAAAATAGTTAACACATTTAGAGGGCTCACACTTTCTAATTTCAAACATATTATAAGGCAATAATAGTCAATATAGTGTGGTACTGGCATATGTATAGCCATATAGACAAATAGAACAGGATTGAAATAAACCTTTACATTTACAATCAACTGACATTTAACAAGTTGCTAAGACCATTCAATGGGGAAAAATAGTCTCTTTAACAAATGGTGGTGGGACAACTGGATATCCATGGGCAGAAGAATGAAGCTGGATCCTTTCCTTAACATAAAAATTAAACTCAGTATGGATAGTTAAAGGTAAGAGATAAAACCATGAAATTTTCAGAAGAAAACAGGAGAAAATCCTCATGACCCTGGGTTGGGCATGTCTTCTTAGAAATAATGTCAAATGTATAAGCAACAATAATAAAATGAGATGCACTAGACTTCATTAAAATTTAAACTTTCTATGCTACAAAGGAGCCATCCAGAAAGTGAAATGACAACTCACAGAATGAGACACCGCTTCACACCCACCAGGAGGACTATAATCAGCAAGACACACAATAACAAGTGTATTGGTGAGGATGTGAAGATATTGGAACACATATAAACAGCTGATGGGAATGTAAAATGATATAGTATTTTGGAAAACAATCTGGCAGTTCCTCAGATTAAATGTAGAGTACCCATATGACCTACTCCTTGGTGAACATCCAAAAGACAAGAAAACATATGTTCACACAAAAACTTGCACATGAATATTTATAGAAGCACTCTTTCTAATAGTCAAAAAGTAGAAAAAAATCCACAAATGTCCATCAACTAATAAATGGACAAATAAAATGTAGCCTATTTAGTCAACAGAATATTATTTATTCATGAAAAGGAACGAAGTTCTGGTCCATGCTACAACATGGAAGAACCTTGAAACATTATGCTAAGTGAAAGAAGACAGTCACAAAAGGCCACATTTGTGTGATTCCATTTATACAAAATATTCAGAGTAGACAAGTCATAGAGATAGAAAGCCAACTGGTGGTTGCCTGTAGCAGGGAAGGAGGTGTGGTAAAAAAATGGTCAATGGTACTGCCAATGAGCTTAAGGGTGATGAAATGTTCTAAAATAGATTATGGTAATGATTTGATAGCTCTGAATATATATTTAAAACCTCTGAATATATTAAAAATCACTCTTTTATTTCAGAGGTAAATTATATGGCTTATGAAATCTATCTGTACAAAACTTTAAAGGAACAAAGCTAACTTAAGCTTTCACTTCCATGTAAGCATGAAGAATTGCAATCTGACATGTAAGTCATATTTCCTGGAGCCTAGCAGAGCCTCTGATGTTGAGGCATTCACGTAGACAACTCAGTTCTTAGAGGTAGGTGCCCACAGGGAGTTTGATGCTCAGGAGGAAACAGCTCTTACTCTCAAGGAGTGGTCAAAATGCCAAACAATGACAAAAGACAAAGTAGTTCTTTACAGTGCATCGAAAATTCTGCGTGTAATTTAGATAAAAGTTGATTTATATCAGATACAGTATATTGAGTTCCTTTTTTCTGTTTAGGAAGTAAATGTTTGATTTTATTTTTTTCAGTGCTTTAGAAGCTTGAAAAATAGATTGTAACTAGAAAGTTACATATGCTAGAAAGTATGACAATTTCTGTCTCTATTTTGCTTAAATTCTAGTACAGGTAAAAACAGATAAAAAAGGAAAATAATCAAATAAAAAAGTAAGGTAGTTTTTTTTTGTTTGTTTGTTTTTATTAAAGAAAGTAGGATTTATTGAGAGGACAGAAAAGCTCCCACAGCGGGAGGGGACCCAAGGGGGTGGCCCATAAGGTAGAATTTTTAGCTGAATAATTTAGGAGAAAGATTAAATCACTGAAAAACCAATCTGGTTCAAATTTTATTCACTCAAAGTGATAAAGTGTTTTAATTAACCTATGAATTATGTCAATTATAAATGCTGTGGGTATTTATGTAGTACATATAAAATTCAAATCCAGGAAATGTCATGCTAAAATATCAGCCAAAATCATCAAACTATCATTCTTCTCTTCTCTAAACTTGCTCTCAGGAAGATTCTGGAGATTGGCAGGCAGCTTATGCAAATGATTATCAAAGATAAATGTTCAATCTCTCTCGAGAGTTACTTGCTCCAAGGGAAGGGAGTTCTCAAAGTCACTCTCCATGGAAGCATGAGGGCGGGAGTTCAGACTCACTTGAACTTTTTCAAACTATAAATGCCTGCCCAGCTCCTAGTAGGTGTCAGATATTGGAGGCTGGAACAGTTTGGAGGCCAGTAGTTTCTGCACATGTGTATGCTGAAGAGTTTTCCAGCTGATTCTGAGATCTCTTCCCAACCTCTCCCTGCTAGCTTTGAGAGTGATTTAGCCCTCAGATGAATGCATTACAGAGGTAATTTGAAGAAAGGGTAGACTTTTGTTACAAATCCAGGAGTGCTGAGGCCGGCTGTAGCTACTGAAACTTCCTTTTAACTCATTTTCAGTGTTACACAATTTATGCTATTGATCATCTGTGGTAAAATTATTATAATAAACATGAGTTTTCAAGTTAAAGTATAATATCAGAGGTCTGACCAATCAAATTTCTAGAGAACACTGGTAGCAAATGGAAATGTAGCAGAAGTTTTTGTTTTGTTTTTTTTTTGAGTTGGAGTCTCACTCTGTCGCCCAGACTGGAGTGCAGTGGCCACTCCCGGCCACCCCAGCCTCGACCTGCTGGGCTCCGGCGATCCTTCCTCCTCAGCTTTCCGAGTAGCCAGAATTACAGGCGCGTGCTACCACACCCGGCTAATTTTTTGATTTATTATAGAGATGAGGTCTCGCCTGCCCAGGCGGGTCTAGAACCCGCGGGCTCAGGCAATCCACTCACCTCAGCCTCCCAAAGGCGCGGGATTACAGGCTGAGCCACCGAGACCAGCTAAGCAGAAGTTTTTATAATGGATTTCCTCCTAGCCAAATTAACAAGTGCTTGCCATTCCTTTTTTCCCAATAAGTATTTCATTGTGATAATGTTCAAATATACAGAGACTCTAAAAGAATTTCCCAGTGAATACCTGCATGCCCACAGCCTCTTTCCATCAATATTTACTTGCATCATCACATACCTATCCATCAATTCATTCTATTGCTTTGATATACTCCAGCATGCATATTATTAACTAGAGTAGACTATTTGTGCTAGGGTTTTTTTCTGGGTTAAAATTTATACATTGCACAATGGACAAATTCCAAAATGCATCTGATGAGTTTTGACAGATGTGCACACGGTGTAATGGAAACCCACATCAAGGTACAGAACTACCACCTGTAAAGCCCCCCACAAGCTCTTCCACAATTAATCCCAACCACTCAAAGGAAACCAGTGTTCTGAGTTTTTCCACCACTGATTAGTTTTACCTGTTCTAGAGCTTCATGTAAATGAGACCTGTGCTATGTTTTTGTGTGTAAGTCTTCTTTCATTCAGTATAATGCTCCCCAGATTCACCATGTTGAATAGGTACTTTGTCCCCTTTAATGCTGAATAGTATTTGGTTGTGTGAACATATTATCCTTTGTTTATTCTATTGATGGACATCTGGGCTGTTCCCAGTTTTTGGCTATTATACATAAAACTGCTGTGAGCATTCTTATAAAAAATGCTTTTGTGAACATGTTTTCAGTTCTTTTGATTAAGTAAGTAGCACTGGAATGACTGAGCCATTGGGTATGTGTATGTTGAGTTATAAAAGAAACTGCAAGAGCATTTCCCAAAGTAGTTATACTACTTTACATTACCAACAGTGTGTGAGCACTCCAGTTCCTCCATACCCTTGCCAACGGTTGATATTGTCAGCCTTTAATTTTCTTTATTCTGATGAATGTGTAATGGTATTGTATTGTAGTGTTAATTTTAATTTACTGCTAACTAATGATATTGACCATTCTTATGTATTATCGGCCATTCTTACTCTATCAGAAATCTAATTACATGAATGCTAGGCCTTCTGGTCCTAAGAGTCCCTGGAGCTCTGTTTATTTATTTTTTCCTCATTATTCTTTTCTCTGTTCTTCATACTGAATACTTTCTATTGGTTTACAAGTTAACTTTTTCCTTTGTCCTCTCTATTCTGCTGTTATTACTATCTATTAGAGTCTTGAAAAACTCTACTATACTGTATTTCTCCATTCCAGAATTTCCATTAGTTCCTTTTTTAGGGTTTCTATTTCTCTGTTGAGATTTTCCACCTATTGATTCATTAAGAGCATATTCCCCCTTACATCACTAAAACAAGGCTGTGTTAAAATCCTTGTCTGCTAATTCTAACAACTTGCTCATCAAAGTTGGTCTCAGTTGATATCTTTTCTATTAGTAATGAGTCATATCTTGTTTTGTTTGTACATTTCAATTTCAGTTCAATAAATTTGTATCCTGGACATTGTGAATATTATGTTTGGACACTCTGGCTTCTGTAATATGCCTCTAAGGACTGTAGCAATTAATTTATCAGACTCAAACTAAAAAGTTCAATTCTTACTTCAGTTCTTCTAGCCTTAGCTGGGCTGACTGGAATGGAGTTTGGCCATGCACATGCTTTACGAGGTCAACCAAAGACTATGCGGTGTATACACGGCATCTATGCCTTCTGTGTCTACTCTCTGGGAGGCCTCCTTCCCTTTCCTATAGCTGTGGCTTCCCAAAGACTGTTCTTTAAGCTATAAAGGCAGTTGGTTTTGTATTAGAGTTTTAGGTACCTGCCTTCAGGTGAAAACACATAATAAGTGAGACATTCACATGTACCATTTCTTCCAGAATCTGCACACTCATGGCTGTTCTCCAGTATCTTCAGGTGTTTTGTTTTGTTTTTTAAATTAAACAGTGTTTTATTTTTAGATGTTACTCAAGTTTACAGTTGTTATCAATGGAAGGCTGGTCTGATAGGAACTTCCTTGGCCATTATTGGACCATTGCTCTTTAAAACACATATGCAATGCTGCCAGCACATGAAAAGTTCCCAAGCAAGAGTTCACGCTCCTCTACACATGCAAGCTTCAGATCCTCCAGCTGGCTGATCTGCATGCCAAGAATTGATTGGTTATTACTGCAGTTCTACTTGCTGTTGTTTAAACAAAAGAGACAGTTATCTGTTGTTTCTATGCAAACTGCACTGTATGCTATGGGAACACTTATTAAAAGTAAGTTGTTAAAAATTTCCTATGGAATTGAAGTAATAAAACAATTGTAAAATAAAAATTAAAATCACAAAACTTTTGAAGGGATCTATTCAGATTGTTTCACAAGTCTTTAAGTTTTTGCTCTACTGTGAATAGACAGAAACTCTGGAACTTGCAAATGATGCATCATGGGGATGGCTACTGCAAGAAAGAATACATACATCTCCAGTCAGTAGACCCATTAAAAACCATATTGGTATATCATAAGACCAATGATTAAAAAGACATTGATATTCTTTAAATAAAAACAAAGCTTCAATATGAAAATGAATGGCTCTGGTACCTGCAATGCTCCATTTTTGCTGAAGGATGAGACACACTGCATCAGTCTACTTAGCTCCTCAGAAACTGCTTCCACCACTTTGGATAACACCCGAGGCACTAAATCTTTAGAAACAGTGAACACCTGATGGAAGGTCAACATAAGAAACATTGCATTATGGTGACTTTCAGTGACTTAAATTTGTTAAAAACAAAGTACCACTCAGAACAAAAAAATCCTTAGGTTTTTAAGGCATGTTTCTAAAAGTCAAAGTTATTAATGAAAGGAAGATACAGTCTTACACTTAAATTGTATTAACTGATTGTGACAAAAAATATTTCTCTTAAAAAATTGACAAATAAAATTTTGAAAGGTACTGTTGATGTCGACAAAATAAAAACTGCTTTGAAGATTTCTTCTTTTTCTTGCTCCTTTCACAGGAAAGTAACATGATTTCTAAAGAAAAAAATTATAGAAATAGAAATATACTGGGTCAGTATTTTACCCAATTAAAAAAAATACTGGATCAGACTCTCTTTAGGACATGGCAAACGCCATTTCAAGCAGGGTACACTATTCTGTATTGAACAACAAGCTCCCAAATTTACTAAATGCTTGACTAAATGTATACTTCCTTTCATCTGACTTGCAACATTGTTTTCAGACTTTAAAGTCGGACACTTCCAAACTGAGAGGTACTTAAATATGGAGATCTGGTAAAACATTTTACTCTCTTGATTTACAAATTAAAGTAAATCATATTTTCTTTTTAAGCCTCTCCTTTTTTTCCAGATTGAGTCACTAGTATTAAATACATGGGTCAATCCAAATGCAACATGAATGTCCAAGAACATTTTTGGCAATTTCACATCATGTGGTAAATACTAGATATTATAAATACAATTCTACTTGCAGTCCTTAGGCTAAATCAAAAGAGGGATTGAAAAGCCTAATCTTTACAAATATTCTCACAGTGACCAACCATGAACACTATGAAAGCTGCCTCCACGGCAACAGCATCATCACTCACAATTCCCACAGTTGTGCCGCTATTCTACACACCCACCACAGAAATGCTCCCACCAACTGAAGGTTTCATACTTAGGTTCCAATTTCAAAGGAAGCTAACACAAAACAAGAATAAAGTGTTTGTGTTTTTGATAAAATTAGTTAAAAACATGACTGCTCATTATAAGAAAAAACTGTGATAAATTCCTGCCTGAGTTAAATCCTGTAAAAATTTTCTTTTCATGGAGGAATGTATATACTTGCCTTTTACTAAGATCTATAGTTTTCTTTCTGCTCTAGGTGTTTCAAATTTAGAGTCAAATTCAGGAACCAGGTGGCATTACCTTTGTTTCCTTTGGTCACTCTACAGTTTTGGTCTTAATTCTGCATGTTTTGTCAGTTTATGTCAATGGCCTCAGATACTTTCAGATGCAGGAGGTGGCATAAACCAAGAAACACCTCTGTGGGATACATATAGCTTGAGAGGCACTAAGGCAACAGGGGATAAGCTAACCTAGTCTCTTCGCTTTGCCCATTTAATATTGTCAGCCATCAGTCTGTGAGCCAAGCCACCTCAAAAGTGTTGGCAAAGCAGTAAGCAATTCCTAAATGTGAAATTCCTAAATGAAAACAGGTAGTTGTAGTGGTGATTATGGTGGCAGCTGGTCTCTTCTTTCAGTGTTCCTCAAAAGAGTCCTCCTACCAAATGATGTTAATACACAGTGTAAGATGATAATGCTTTAAGAGGGCAAGTTTTTGCATGAACCAGAAGCAACAACACATGTGAACCTCAGTCAGCCACTGACAGGAAACCATGTGTCTGATTCCCAGCATCAGTCTGCCCTTGAGTCTCTCTTCTAATTAGCTCCCACCTTTCTGGAATACAAACCACTGTGTGACACCACACTGCAATGTGAATCAGAAACCAGTGCTTATTTGTTTACTGGCTAAAAAGAGGCTAATGAATTTTCTAAGATTTGACATTCTTTAAAGGAAAAACATTCTTTCAACTGATTTTTCTCTTTACCTTTCAAATATTATAAATTTAGCCTTAAAAATCAGAGAAAATATAAAATTTCAGAAGACTCATAGTTACACACACACACGAGAGAGAGCGAGAGAGAAAGGTGAGAGAGAGAAGGCTGAACTGTGTTTTATTTACACAAAAAACACATTCTGAAGGGAAAAAAAGAGTACCATAAAAATAATCAAATCTGAGTCTTTTTTCCCAGTTACCCATATCTCTTAGAAACATCTAATGATAGCTTACCTCTGCATGCACAGCAATTATATTCACTAGTGCTTCTTTTAAATAGTTTCTGACACCTGAAATCAAGATGGGGAACAAAAAGAAGGCATTGAGTGAAAACACAGCCCCCACCTGTGCTGGCACTGCTGTGTACTGCCTTAGAGTTTTCTGGGGAGAAAAAGAAAGTAACACCATCACTACTGATTTCCTTTTGAGAACCAATGGTGAAAGGACTATTTTCATACAGGTCAGAAAAAAAAAAAAAAAAAAAAGTTAAATTAGTTAGGAGTTGTCCTTCACTGTTTTTCATTTCTGCCACTGTTTTTGCTCTCTGTAACTGGTAATCAGTCTCAAAATGAAAATTTTAAAATACTCTTCAATTTCTTCATATACATACTGTATAAAAACAGACAAAATGCAGAGAACAGAAGGGGGATGTTTAACAATGCTTATAAAATGCATGCAAAATATCTTATTGCCAATGGCAAAAGTCAAGTTATTATGCAGAATGACTATTTTGATCTCCAGGAATCACTTTAAGGAGAAACTTCTCATAAAACCACATGAATCTGATTCTGAAAAGTAAGTTAAAGACTAGACAAAAAAGACTGGAGAGTTTAGGTACAGGATTAATGAACACTACTTTGTTCAAAACCTGGCACACAGAAGACTTAAGTGTGGGTTGTGAGGTCAGACAATTTGGGATCAAACTCCATTTTTAACATCTATTAGCCATGACTTTTGGCAGAAGACCATGGGTCACCATCTTCTTCTCTCTCAAATAAGTATAATAATTGAACCTATCTTGCAATGCTGTAGTGAGGATTAAGGGGGATACTGCATGCAACAGTCCAGGTGTTCACTGTATTCATTAAGACCTTTCCTATCATTTTTCTGCAAGGAAAAACATATTAAAACAAAATGCCGCTTTACCATAACTCCAAAACAATGACTTTCACTTGGATAGCAATAATTCAGAATGCCTCTTAGAACCAACTGCACATAGAGAACACTTTCTGTGTTGAACAGAGAACATTCTGTATAGTAATAGCATAGATGTTAATAACACTGGTTAAGGATAATCTCCCAGAATCTCATCCACACTACTGATTATTTAGAAAAATTGAGACAGAGACCAAGAACTCTAATCAACTTTTAGAACTGGTACTAGCACATTCTAATATATAATTAGTTTCAGATTCTGTCACATATTATGATGTATAAATAAGCACACTGCTTTTCTTCTGAGGAGGCATATTCCGTTTTGCTGGATAGCTGAGGACGCGGAATGAAGAGTAATTAAACAGAACTCAGAAATGAACTGATTCCTCATGAAAACAAGGGGAAGGGCAAGGCAAGAAGTCTGATCTGGGAGTAGGAGAGCACAGAGGAGCCTGTTGTAAGTGAAAGTGAAATAAACTAGCTTGTGTGGAGATCAGAGAAGGTTCTTCCTGCAGGAGAAGAGCCATACACACAGCATCCCATGGACAGCTCCTGCTGTAGGCAGGGCACATGGAGCCTGGCTTCCTCTGTCAGGGGCCCTCTAAGCTCCCTAGTGTGCAGGGGCAGGGGCGTACATGGTCACTGCACTCAGGTCTGCAAACTGCAGCCTCATGGATGGCCAGCTCATGGAGAAACTGGGCTGCCGGATGGAGTTACTGAGAACACAAGCACAGCATTAGGCTTCTATTTTTAACATTCTAAGGAACTAAGAGTAAAACATTTGACAGCCTCTGCCCTCAGTGAGAATTAGGATCCTGGCAATACTGCTACAAGAACAAGTGTTGGGATTGGTTTCTATCTAACAGTACTCTAGCAATGGTGATTGGAAATGGGGGGGGGCAGTTGTAAACTTTTAAAATTCCTCAATATAAAAGAGACAGTGGGAACACTCTTCTCTTTAGCACTGACTAAAAAGCAGAAAATTACACTCAGAATGAAGTGAGGCAGGGTCACATGCTCTGCAACAGCCTGCTATAAACTCGACTCCCACTCTGAACACTTCCTGGCAAGAACCCACCAGCTTTAGCATTACTAATAAGACACCTGTAAAAAAGACACATCTACCCAATGCGTTCTAAAGACAGAGCTGTGAATAGTGAGAAGAAAGCACAGAATACTTTCAGCTAAAAGAACCTTATTTTTGTTGACAGGAAGTTTTAACAAACAGCAAGCTTTCTAGATTCACCACAGGTGTCATGTGGATACATATTGTAAGGATCTCGTAGATTTAACCTTGAACAAGGTAAAAAAATTTGCATTTCTTGGAGACTTTATCTTATAAACAGAATAAAGGAAATAATTACTTCCTCCCCACCCCCACAAAACAGCAAATAATTGCTTTATGTCAATAACTGGTAGTGTTGGAAAAAAAGAAGGAAAAAACTTGTGGTCCTGGGATGGACAGACAGTGCTCCTGGTCAAACCATATGTCAGTCCAGTAAGGTTAAGAGACAGCTTGGACAGGACACATCTGAAAGACGTTATTGTGAGTGGAGCACAATGATGGACTGTTACAATTCCTCGACGCAATGCATATGCTGGAGTTATCACAACGAGAAAAGTTTCAAAAATATAAAAATAAATACATCATTGATTGCCTCTCTCCAAAAGGCTACCCATTGAGTTACATCAAGAAGCTTTTTAAAAAAAAATTACCTATTGGGCTAAAATTGTTGCTAGTTCTAAGGGAATGGCTCAAAGTTCTCATTCATTCATTTAGCATCAATTTGTTGTGATTCCACTATATGGCAGATACCACAAGGCACACATCAGAGGTAGTCAGGCATCAGTTCTTTTGAGGAGAATATATGTTTGTCTCTAGTGCGTATATGGCCCCAAAGTGCTTAGTCATTAAAAATCTGACCTACCAATATGTGCAGAATGGTCATATAACAAAATTTTATGTTGTAAAAAAGTCTTTGTGCTCCAACTTAAAATAATATGGGAAATGTTCAGTTGCTCTCTTTATTTTGTGAAGTTCTTCACTGGGTAACGCAAGTATATGGACAGGGTGGAGAAAGTTGGGGCACGGGGCCTAGAGACTAGACTGTCTGTGTCTCAGAAACGAATAAGATCTCTGTTACAAATTTCACTTCCTCTCTCTCCTCACCATGTCCACAGCCAGCATCAGCCTGGGAGAGACCAGCCGAGCAGCACACCTGCTCCCTCACCTGCTTGCCCAGCTGTCCTGAGGACACTTGGTCCACGACAAGACCTCCAGACACATCCTTCAAACACCACACTTGATAAACCTCTTGGTTCTAACTGCCTGTTTACTTTCCTGTTTTAAAACGCTGCTCAAAATCCAACTATGGAAGGATGTTAGCTCTCTTGAGCATCTGTACCCAAAGAAGCCAGGGATGGCACAGGGCAGGTGCTGGTTCCCAGTGGGCCACACTGCTGGCACGCAGCTACCATGTGCTTTTCCAGTTGGAAGAGGGTTGGACACCACACACTTAGGGCTGACTGAAACCAGGCAGGGCTGGGAATGTGAGGGGAGCTCACCTGTGGCCTCACAGTCCTTCCTACAATGGTAGGGCAAGATGAAGAAGGCAAGACAGAGGCCATAAGAATGATGAGAAAGACATCCCAAGAAGGACCTGGAGCTGTCAGAGGACAGCTGTGAGTGCATCTGTCATCACAGTAGCTGATGCCTTATAGTGGGTGGCAGAACCAAGCATGGAATGAGTTTCAAAAGACCTTGGTCATGGCACACAGGGACAGGACCAGAATTCGATTTTTGGTTACAGCACTATTTTCAAAAAAATCCATGACTATGACAAAGGGACCATATTGCAGTTAACTTTGGTAGTCTATGTTCTCTTTCCATTTATTTTTATTAAAATACAGTTTATTCTAATTTTACTTGATTAACATTCATTTTAAATTCATTTAGGCAACAGAAAGAACACTTGGTATCTAAATTCTGGCTTATCTATATACTAACCATATAACCATACACAACTCAGTTCACCTTTCAGACAACTGCCAATCTGTGAAATGTAGAGATCACAATGACTGTTTTGCTAACAAAGCTGCTATGAAAATGCCACATATGTGTATTACCTCATTCTTCCAACATGCATTGTATATCTATCATGTGCTGGGTACCAAGGTGGACCCACCCCACTATAACAGAGCTTACAGTTTAGTGGGAAGGAGCGTTTTGTCAATTTGAAAGCAGTACACATAGCTCTGGTATTATTTGTTTAATTAAAGACATAACAGTTGACTAACAGTCATGATGAATAGAAAAAACACACTAATTTCTCTTTCATAGTATATAAGTTTGAACACTACAGTCCTGTAATGGATGTCACCCAGTTGCAGCAGACCTTGATTGTAGGTTAATTCTTTTGAGTGGTATAAGGAGTAGCTTAATAGGTGAATTTGCACATAAGAACAAGACAACAGCAAAAAACACAGAAACAAGATAAAATGTAACTGTGATATGCTATCACTGGAAATATTTGTCTTTGACAGTAGTCTTATTTTGCTAGTTTCACTAAGAGTTCTCAGAAATTGGAATTTTAGTGGAACTCTTCTGTCATACTTTGGTTTTGAAAAGAATGGCTGAATGTTACATACCAGTGTTGGCTACGGTAGACCTTGCTCCAGTGGTGATGTCTGCGTGAAGAGGTCCAGGGGACCACAGGCAGAATTAGACTGCGACCTCAAACACTCATGTTACTTACTAAGCAGTCACCTTGGAGCAAGCTTCTGAACTGTTCTGATTTGTACCCTTCTCCTTTATAAAACACAGGTAACATTTATTAAATGAAATGTTTTTAAGAGGCTAGAAGTACATCTGCAAAACAAAGGGCATCAACAGACGGGAAGTGTCAGGACCAGTCCCGCCCCCAGCCTTGCCCTGCATTCCCAGGTGCTGCACCTGAGTCACCACCAGTCACGTGCTTTGAGTGCTGCATCACTGGTTCTACTGTAGCAGCTCCACAGTTATTTGTGAGACTCCTCAGTTAATACTTGTACACTAACAAGTGCAGGGATCATCTGTCACTATCCCTATCATTGTATCCTCAGCATCCATTACAGAGGCTGGCATAGCAGATGTTCA